TCATTTCCCCATACGGGAAATGAGAATGCCAAATAAATAAAAAATATAAATTTTTTTCAAAATTTTATTTATGTATTTTATGCATGATTTGGGACATCAATAAGTATTTGCTGTTCAGTTTAAATTGGGCTAAAAGATCAATGACTTAATTTAATTACTCGTTTACAAGACTAATGGAACATTTCTAATCAAATCAAATATTTACAATAAATAATTTGTATTTCCTTTTAAAAGATTGTGGAAAAAATTATTCGTTGTTCTTATATTCGCTGCTTAAGGGCAAGTTTATGAGTGTTTAGTTAAACTGCAGTTTAATAATACTAACATTCGATACAATAGACTATAGTCTAGACATATAGACTATACACTAGACAATATACTAGACTGTAGACTATACAATAGACTAGACTATAGACTAGACAATAGACTAGACAATAGACTAGACTATATACTAGACTAGACTATAGACCAGACTATAGACTAGGCTATAGACTATAGGCTAGACTATAGGCTAGACTATAGACTAGACTATAGGCTAGACTATAGACTAGACTATAGACTAGACTATAGACCAAACTATAGACTAGACTATAGACTAGACTATAGACTAGACTATAGACTAGACTATAGACTAGACTATAGACTAGACTATAGACCATAGACTAGACTATAGACTAGACTATAGACTAGACTATAGACTAGACTATAGACTAGACTATAGACTAACTATAGACTAGACTATAGACTAGACTATAGACTAGACTATAGACTAGACTATAGACTAGACTATAGACTAGACTATAGACTAGACTATAGACTAGACTATAGACTAGACTATAGACTAGACTATAGACTAGACTAGACTATAGACTAGACTAGACTATAGACTAGACTAGACTATAGACTAGACTAGACTATAGACTAGACTATAGACTAGACTATAGACAAGACTATAGACAAGACTATAGACAAGACTATAGACCAGACTATAGACTAGACTATAGAATAGACTATAGAATAGACTATAGACTAGTCTATAGGCTAGACTATAGACTAGACTATAGACTAGACTATAGAATAGACTATAGAATAGACTATAGACTAGACAATAGACTAGACTATAGACTAGACTATAGACTAGACTATAGACTAGACTATAGACTAGACTATAGACTAGACTATAGACTAGACTATAGACTAGACTATAGACTAGACTATAGACTAGACTATAGACTAGACTATAGACTAGACTATAGACTAGACTATAGACTAGACTATAGACTAGACTATAGACTAGACTATAGACTAGACTATAGACTATACTATAGACTAGACTATAGACTAGAGTATAGACTAGACTATAGACTAGACTATAGACTAGACTATAGACTAGACTATAGACTAGACTATAGACTAGACTATAGACTAGACTATAGACTAGACTATAGACTAGACTATAGACTAGACTATAGACTAGACTATAGACTAGACTATAGACTAGACTATAGACTAGACTATAGACTAGACTATAGACTAGACTATAGACTAGACTATAGACTAGACTATAGACTAGACTATAGACTAGACTATATACTAGACTATAGACTAGACTATAGACTAGACTATAGACTAGACTATAGACTAGACTATATACTAGACTATATACTAGACTATAGACTAGACTATAGACTAGACTATAGACTAGACTATAGACTAGACTATAGACTAGACTATAGACTAGACTATAGACTAGACTATAGACTAGACTATAGACTAGACTATAGACTAGACTATAGACTAGACTATAGACTAGACTATAGACTAGACTATAGACTAGACTATAGACTAGACTATAGACTAGACTATAGACTAGACTATAGACTAAACTATAGACTAGACTATAGACTAGACTATAGACTAGACTATAGACTAGACTATAGACTAGACTATAGACTAGACTATAGACTAGACTATAGACTAGACTATAGACTAGACTATAGACTAGACTATAGACTAGACTATAGACTAGACTATAGACTAGACTATAGACTAGACTATAGACTAGACTACTATAGACTAGACTATAGACTAGACTATAGACTAGACTATAGACTAGACTATAGAATAGACTATAGACTAGACTATAGACTAGACTATAGACTAGACTATAGACTAGACTATAGAATAGACTATAGAATAGACTATAGACTAGACTATAGACTACACTATAGACTAGACTATAGACTAGACTATAGACCTATACTATAGACTAGACTATAGACTAGACTATATACTAGACTATAGACTAGACTATAGACTAGACTATATACTAGACTATAGACTAGACTATAGACTAGACTATAGACTAGACTATAGACTAGACTATAGACTAGACTATAAATTGAAATATAATTTTTTAGTTCCCTTAAGAACTAATCATTAATTAGGGATTCAACATTGTCTAACACAATTTTCAAGGCAAATCAATCAATAGATGGAAAAGTTTCTTTAAAAAAAATGGTATTAGTTCATCTTATCTTCCGCCATAATAGCAATTTATTTCATCGAGTCATGGTAACGTGTGACGACTATCGTATGGTGGGAAAATTTTCTTAATCGGTCTGTTGGTTGTCAATAAGTCATGAGGCCCTATAAATCAAATTAAATTGCTACTTTAATGACAAAAAATAAATTTCCAAAAATAAATGGGGTTTTTAGTTGTCTTTAAAAAACGGATGATATTAGTATAACAACAAATTAAATATAATGAGTAATTGTTATTGTATACATTATTATCATCAATCACATCAATAATTAAAAGTTTATGTTTGCAGTTATAAAATAAGTCATAAAAAAACAAAACCAATAAAACTGGCAAGAATTTGATTTTTGAATTTCTCTGATTAAAATAGAAATGAAGAAAAAACCAATAGCAACATTAAAAAGAATCATTGAAAGTGCGTATTGTTAAAGAAAAAGAACCAATGAATGGTGTCAGACATGTTGTATGAATGGCTGAATGATGGCGATTAGTGTTGACTCATTTTAAATACTTAAAACTTAAATAGTTTGCACTAAATGATAAACATTTTAAAATATGTAGTACATACTATAAAATGTTTATTGAAGTTTCTTGTAGAAAATATGTGTACATGGCAATTATTTGGAATTTATTTACATTCATACATATCAATATTTTAATTTATACTTATAATAGTAACGTAGTGCAACATTGCGCATAAGTGCTGAAATTTGTCATACGCACTGTGGGAGAGAACTTGGAAATGAAAGACAATAACATAGATAATAGTTGTTTTAAAAAATGTAAGACTGTGGACTATACTATTCCCAACTAAACTATAGTCAAGGCTATAAAAAATATTATAGACGAGGATAAAGCCAAACTATAGACTTAACTAGACAGAAGACTTAACTAGGGTTTATTAGTATTGATTAGACTTTAGACAAGTCTTAAGTCAAGGTATAGTCTGGTCTATATCATAGTCAATTGTCTAGTCTATATATAGTCTAGCCTAAAGTCTAGTCTATAATAAATTGGAGAGAGTATAGTGTATAGCTTAGTATAAATTATTGTTTAGCCTATATTCTTCTCTATATGCAGCCTAGTCAAATAGTCTAGACTATAGTCTAGTATGTAGTCCTGGTCTATATTGTTTTCTAGAGTATAATCTATAGTCTAGTATAAAGTCTAGTCTAGAGTCTAGTCTATAGTCCAGTCTATAGCCTAGTCTATAGTCTAGTCTACAGTCTAGTCTACAGTCTAATCTACAGTCTAGTCTACAGTATAGACTACAGTTCAGTCTATTCTACAGTCTAGCCAACAGTCTAGTCTATAGTGTAATCTATAATCTAGTCCATGATCTAGTCTATTGTTTAATCTGCTGTCTGGTCTATAATCTAGTCTACAGTTTATTCTGTACTCTAATATATTGTCTATTCTACAATACAGTTAAGTCAATAGTCTAGTTTATAATCTAGTATTGTCTATAGTATAGTCTATGGTCTGGTCTATAGTTTAGTCGATAGTCAAGTCTAGTCTAAAGTCTAGTCTAAAGAAGTCTAATCTATAGTCTAGTCAATAGTCAAGTCTATACTATAGTCTAGTATATAGTCTAGTCTACAGTCTGGTCTACAGTCTAGTCTATAGTCTAGTCTATAGTCTAGTCTATAGTCTAGTCTATAGCCTAATCTATAGTTTATTGTCTAGTTTATATTCTAGTCTATAGTCTAGTCTAGTCTATAGTCTAGTCTATAGTCTAGTCTATAGTCTAGTCTATAGTCTAGTCTATAGTCTAGTCTATAGTCTAGTCTATAGTCTAGTCTATAGTCTAGTCTATAGTCTAGTCTATAGTCTATAGTCTAGTCTATAGTCTAGTCTATAGTCTAGTCTATAGTCTAGTCTATAGTCTAGTCTATAGTCTAGTCTATAGTCTAGTCTATAGTCTAGTCTATAGTCTAGTCTATAGTCTAGTCTATAGTCTAGTCTATAGTCTAGTCTATAGTCTAGTCTATAGTCTAGACTATTTTCTTCAGTTTAGTGTAAAGTCCTGTCTATATTCTAGTTTTTAGACATGTCTATAGTCTGTAGTAAAGTCTATAGTCTATACAGAATTGTCTATATTCTCTAGTCTAATCTAGTTTACAAAATGTATATTATTGCCGAGACCATAATCAAGAGACTAAACGCGAGACATTAGACTAGACTATTAACCAGAGTATAGATGAAACTATGTATAAACTAGGCTACAACTGAGATCATAATCACGACTAAAAGCCAGTTCATTAGCAAAATTTTTCGATTTTGATAAATATTTTTAAGTGTTTGTATTTTCAGTTTCATATTTATGTACATTATATTTTCTAAAACATTTTTCATTTAAATTCTAAACGGACTTTGCTCTCATTAAATCATAACAAAAGTGCATGATGGTTTATGTTTTCTACTTGCAAAATTATTAATAGTAAATTGAAACACTCACCTAGTTCTATTATTTTTTTTTCAGGCTCTAAATATCTCATATTGTATTTAAATATCTCCAGTTGCACTACAATACCATGTTTCATGCGTCGTGGATCAACGGTCGAGGTGAATGTTTTATTTGACGATGATAGTAAGTATCTAGAATTAAATAAACAAAAATATTTCATTTTTGAATATGACAAGACATAAAGTATAAATAAAGTGCAATAAACTTTAAGTGTCAATTTGTAATTTAAGGTGTAGTAAACAAGCAATTAAAATTGTATTTATAAAATTTATGGGTTTTTTTTTTTAAAGTAACAATTTATAAACACACTTTTAAATAATTTGATTAACCCATTAACCCTTAATCAAAAATAGTTTTAAAGCAATAAGCTTGGTTTGACACTTTGGTAAATATTTAGAAATTAAGTTAAATTATATTCCTAATTGTCAACATTTTTTAATGTTGCCTGTCGCTTTAATTGTAATCGTATTGGAAACGACAATTCAATGAACCTTAAAATTTAAGAAAGAAAAAATAAACAACAGATTACAAAATAACAAAGAATCACTTGTTTGGTGCTAAAATTTTAGTTTTTATTTGTTTATTTTGAAAAACTAGAGTTTTTGTTTATAAATAATAATGAATAGTATATTTATATTTTATAGTTGTGTTAAATTTATTGACACAATTCTTGTGGAACAATTTATTAGCATTTTTTGTTTAAAGAGATTTTTTTCAAATAAACATTTTTATGGCACATTCATACGATTATTTATGGGTTGTTGCCGATAAGACACTTTATCTACCTGATGGTTATTTAAAGAAACAGTAGCAAACAATGGCTATAAAAAATTAATTAAAAATTTTTGACATAAATTAAATACTACGGAATCAGGCTTTAACGAATGTTAGTTGAAAAAAGTGCAGCAATATCCCTGCCTGTAGACTAAAGTTTTTACTATATTATGGTTAGGTTAGGTTGATAGGAGGATGTATACTACATCAAATCCGAAAAAATACACCTAGTCCACTATCGGGCCTGTTGTGCGCTCCTTATAATAGAAAAAATGGAACTGAATGAATTATTTTTCAGAAACTCAGTTTCCTGAACGTAATTCCTAAGAACCTTCCAATCAGTGTTAGTCAGGAATGTTATTTCCGCAATAACATCACTTCCAAGATACTTGGATCTAACTTCGACGAATGCCTGGCAGTGGCAAAGAAAGTGCTCCAGAGTTTCACTGTCCTCCCCACATGCTCTAAATTCGTAATCCTGTGTGTCCACTCAGAATACGTACCATCTTACTAACTTCAGACTTGCTCATTTTGAGGAGATTTTTCGTCTTGCTCTCATCAGGGTCACCCCATAGGATCTTCGCGGTTCTATCCCAGGCCTTATGAAATTCTCTCACCCATATTTTTAGTTCAGCTTTTGTTGAGTCGAATGGTTTTGCGTTTGTCAAGTTAACTGCCTCGAGCTCCATTCCCTTTAAAGCTATTACATTCGCCCTTTCGTTACCGACTACTCCCGAGTGGGCTGGTATCCATATGATACGAACCTTACCTCTGGGAGAGTATTCAGTTAAAGCTTTCTTACAATCCAATATGGTCTTAAATTTAGTTCTATCGCCTGATATCGCCCTAATTGCCTTCTGGCAGTCGGTAAATATATTAAGCGCTGTGGGCGCCATATTTATTCTAATCCAATTTACGCATTCCGTTATTGCTCGTTCTTCTGCCTGGAAGCTTGTGTTATGATTTGGTAAACGGTGGTATATTTCTAGGTCTTCAATATAGAACCCCAGCCCCACTTTGTCCCCAATTTAGAGCCATCCGTGTAACAACGGATTCCTAATAGTATTTGCTCTAATGTTCCGCTTGACCAAGACATTCTATCTGGGATCAGCGTTTCAAAGTTTCCGACATATTCTCTGTCTGGTATACGATCAGGCACGTCCGATGATTGTGTATAACCTTCCAATGTGTCCAGTATACATTGATGATGGCTTTGGCCAGTTCGCCTAAAGTAAAGAACCTTTCGGCTGTAAGCGCCGCCTCATATCTTAAATATGTTTAAATGGGTGGAATATCTACCAACGCTTCCAGAGCCTTGGATGAAGTAGTACACATGGCACCACTTATACCCAAGCAGCATGTACGCTGAACTCCCTGTAGTAGTTTGATATTGTACCTTTTGTCTAAAGCAGTCCACCAGATTATTGAAGCATAAGCTAGAATTGGGCTAATTACACTTTTATAAAGCCAATTTGTGATAGTAGGAGTAAGACCCCATTTCATGCCTATAGTTCTCCTACATATCGCCCAGCCTTGTTGATTCTATCCTCTATCTGGTGTCTCCATTTTAATTTCCGATCGAGGATTTCATTTAAGTACTTACCTTTGTCTGTCACTGGTATTATGTATTCAAGAGAATACATAATATAAGCATGCTGCTTAAAGTTTAGGTCTTTGTAGGGTATACTGCTTTTAACCATACTATCGACTATCCGTTCCAAGGTTTTATGTAGGAAGGACGTAAGACTTATCGGTCGATAAGACTTAGGTGTCGCATAGCTAGGTTTCCCTGGTTTGGGTATAAATATTACCCTTGCATCCTGCCATTTAACTGGGGTACATGCCAATTTTAAGCATGCAGTGAATATCTGTGACAGATGTACGGAAACCAGTCCCGCCTCCATCTGCAAAAGTGCCGGGAAAATGCCATCCGGCCCTGCAGCTTTATAGGGAGCAAAGCTCTTGATTGCCCCTTTAACCATGTCAGTTGTAATAACTATTTCCGTGTTAGCCTCCCCTTCCTCTAATATCGGTTCATCTATGTTATTCGATATACCGGGTGGGAAATGAGAGTCCATTAGGAGTTTCATTGTCTCCTCCATATCCTCCAGCCTCCTGCCCGTGTCATCGGCCATAAATCACGATTATAGGCCAGAATATAGACTAGAGTGTATTCCAGACATTATAATCTAAAAAATAGATTGAACCAAATTATTAACCAGACTATCGCACTGGACTATAGTCCCGACTATAGACTATATGGTCCAGATTATAAACTATAGACTTGGCCACAGTTCAGATTATAAACTATAGGCTTGGCTACAGTCCAGACTATAGACTAAACTATAGACTAGACTATAGACTAGACTATAGACTAGACTATAGACTAGACTATAGACTTGACTATAGACTAGACTATAGCCTAGACTATAGATTAGACTATAGACTAGACTATAGACAAGACTATAGACTAGACTATAGACTAGACTATAGACTAGACTATAGACTAGACTATAGACTAGACTATAGACTAGACTATAGACTAGACTATAGACTAGACTATAGACTAGACTATAGACTAGACTATAGACTAGACTATAGACTAGACTATAGACTAGACTATAGACTAGACTATAGACTAGACTATAGACTAGACTATAGACTAGACTATAGACTAGACTATAGACTAGACTATAGACTAGACTATAGACTAGACTATAGACTAGACTATAGACTAGACTATAGACTAGACTATAGACTAGACTATAGACTAGACTATAGACTAGACTATAGACTAGACTATAGACTAGACTATAGACTAGACTATAGACTAGACTATAGACTAGACTATAGACTAGACTAGACTATAGACTAGACTAGACTATAGACTAGACTATAGACTAGACTATAGACTAGACTATAGACTAGACTATAGACTAGACTATAGACTAGACTATAGACTAGACTATAGACTAGACTATAGACTAGACTATAGACTAGACTATAGACTAGACTATAGACTAGACTATAGACTAGACTATAGACTAGACTATAGACTAGACTATAGACTAGACTATAGACTAGACTATAGACTAGACTATAGACTAGACTATAGACTAGACTATAGACTAGACTATAGACTAGACTATAGACCGATTTTTAATTTTCTTTATAATAAACTAGCATACCCTGGGTGCTTCGCTCCCCTAGCCAAAATTAAGTACACACAAAATTTTGTTTACTTTTATAGAAAATTAAAATTGAGTAACTTATTCAATGAGGACCGTGTATGATTTTGGTCTTATATAGGCCTTAGTACTCGAATTCCAAAATAATATACCAATAACTTATTTTGTGTGAGTAAATAAACTACTTTTTAAAATTTTATAAAAATTTACTTTTTTCCCAGTGAAATAGCAAACATTTTGTTTCAATAAATATTACAGAGTTAGTTCGTAATTTAATAGGAATACTTCAATAAACCGAAAAAGTTTTCTTAATGTGCTAAAAAAAAAGTACCATAAATACAGTTTTTTCCCTTATACAACCAAAAAGGGCTGAATTTTAAAAAAGTACGTAACAGGTGTCTCATAATTTTGGAAGATGTATTCAAAATATTTATAAAAATTTTATTATGTTAATCAGTTAAAAAGTTATAAAGGGCCAAAAAAGGTACCAAAATCCCCTTTGTTACACATTTTCACCCCTTAAGAATACGAATTTCAGAAAAGTACCAAAGTACCAAATTTCCCTCCTTAGTGGATCTACATAACCAAAAACACATCCACTGTCAAAATTTCATGATTCTAGGTTCAGCCGTTTGGGCTGTGCAATGATGAATCAGTCAGTCAGTAACGCTACTCTTTTATATATATAGAAGATAAAAACAATAAAAACAATATTTTAAAGATATTTTTTTACTATTTATCAACACCAGGTGACAATACGAAATATTTAAAACACCGTGTACGTTGGATTTTTAACACCATCAAGACTCAAGCTCATATTACCCCCGACCCGTGTGATGGCAATCAAAAATGTTTGTCTAACGATCATGATGGAAAATTTTATTGGGCCACGGTTTTGGTCAATAATACTCTGCCAGCGGTAAGTTAAATTGCAATAATATACAAAAATTATAATAAATTTTTCATATATAATTTGTTTATATTTACAGATCTCTGGCACTATGCTTTGGGAAGCAGTTAATGAATACAATCAAGATGTTATTTGCTTTAAAGTTCCAGTTGTCGTAACCATGTAAAAATCATTATTTTTTTTAGATTTAAAAATCTTATTTAAATAAAGTTAAAGTAAAGCAAATGCAAAATTGATAAATTCAAGACTGATTGTTAATAGCTAAATCTCGTTGTAAATAAAACAAAACATAATTAGAACATATTTTCTTAAAATAAAAGCAAACATTATTCGAAATTATTGATTTTGTTTTATGATTTCATAAAAACACAAAAATGCAATTTCTATCGCTCTTTGTACTTCTTTCTAAATTTTATTTAAACGATAACTACAACACTGGAAGAAATCTTTTTATATAGTTATGAGTAAATCTTATTATTATATTGGCTTAGCTGCAGATAATCTTAAAATTCCAAAAACAATAAAAGTTAATTTTGTTTATGTACTATGGGACAGAGTACGACTATAAACTAGACTATAGACTAGACTAGACTAGACTATAGAATAGACTAGACTATAGACTAGACTATAGACTAGACTATAGACTAGACTATAGACTAGACTATAGACTAGATTATAGACTAGACTATAGAATAGACTATAGACTAGATTATAGACTAGACTATAGACTAGACTATAGACTAGACTATAGACTAGACTATAGACTAGACTATAGACTAGACTATAGACTAGACTATAGACTAGACTGTAGACTAGACTATAGACTAGACTATAGACTAGACTATAGACTAGACTTTAGACTAGACTATAGACTAGACTATAGACTAGACTATAGACTAGACTATAGACTAGACTATAGACTAAACTATAGACTAAACTATAGACTAGACTATAGACTAGACTATAGACTAGACTATAGACTAGACTATAGACTAGACTATAGACTAGACTATAGACTAGACTATAGACTAGACTATAGACTAGACTATAGACTAGACTATAGACTAGACTATAGACTAGACTATAGACTAGACTATAGACTAGACCATAGACTAGACTATAGACTAGACTATAGACTAAACAATAGACTATAACTATAGAACTAGACTATAGACTAGAATATAGACCAGACTATAGACTAGACTATAGACTAGACTATAGACTAGACTATAGACTAGACTATAGACTAGACTATAGACTAGACTATAGACTAGACTATAGACTAGACTATAGACTAGACTATAGACTAGACTATAGACTAGACTATAGACTAGACTATAGACTAGACTAGACTAGACTATAGACTAGACTATAGACTAGACTATAGACTAGACTATAGACTAGACTATAGACTAGACTATAGACTAGACTATAGACTAGACTATAGACTAGACTATAGACTAGACTATAGACTAGACTATAGACTAGACTGTAGACTAGACTATAGACTAGACTATAGACTAGACTATAGACTAGACTATAGACTAGACTATAGACTAGACTATAGACTAGACCAGAGACTAGACCATAGACTAGACTATAGACTAGACTATAGACTAGACTATAGACTAGACTATAGACTAGACTAGACTAGACTATAGACTAGACTATAGACTAGACTATAGACTAGACTATAGACTAGACTATAGACTAGACTATAGACTAGACTATAGACTAGACTATAGACTAGACTATAGACTAGACTATAGACTAGACTATAGACTAGACTATAGACTAGACTATAGACTAGACTATAGACTAGACTATAGACTAGACTATAGACTAGACTATAGACTAGACTATAGACTAGACTATAGACTAGACTATAGACTAGACTATAGACTAGACCTATAGACTAGACTATAGACTAGACTATAGACTAGACTATAGACTAGACTATAGACTAGACTATAGACTAGACTATAGACTAGACTATAGACTAGACTATAGACTAGACTATAGACTAGACTATAGACTAGACTATAGACTAGACTATAGACTAGACTATAGACTAGACTATAGACTAGACTATAGACTAGACTATAGACTAGACTATAGACTAGACTATAGACTAACTATAGACTAGACTATAGACTAGACTATAGACTAGACTATAGACTAGACTAGACTATAGACTAGACTATAGACTAGACTATAGACTAGACTATAGACTAGACTATAGACTAGACTATAGACTAGACTATAGACTAGACTATAGACTAGACTATAGACTAGACTATAGACTAGACTATAGACTAGACTATAGACTAGACTATAGACTAGACTATAGACTAGACTATGGACTAGACTATAGACTAGACTATAGACTAGACTATAGACTAGACTATAGACTAGACTATAGACTAGACTATAGACTAGACTATAGACTAGACTATAGACTAGACTATAGACTAGACTATAGACTAGACTATAGACTAGACTATAGACTAGACTATAGACTAGACTATAGACTAGACTATAGACTAGACTATGGACTAGACTATAGACTAGACTATAGACTAGACTATAGACTAGACTATAGACTAGACTATAGACTAGACTATAGACTAGACTATAGACTAGACTATAGACTAGACTAGACTAGACTATAGACTAGACTATAGACTAGACTATAACTAGACTATAGACTAGACTATAGACTAGACTATAGACTAGACTATAGACTAGACTATAGACTAGACTATAGACTAGACTATAGACTAGACTATAGACTAGACTATAGACTAGACTATAGACTAGACTATAGACTAGACTATAGACTAGACTAGACTATAGACTAGACTATAGACTAGACTATAGACTAGACTATAGACTAGACTAGACTATAGACTAGACTATAGACTAGACTATAGACTAGACTATAGACTAGACTATAGACTAGACTATAGACTAGACTATAGACTATAGACTAGACTATAGACTAGACTATAGACTAGACTATAGACTACACTATAGAATAGACTATAGACTAGACTATAGACTAGACTATAGACTAGACTATGGACTAGACTATAGACTAGACTATAGACTAGACTATAGACTAGACTATAGACTAGACTATAGACTAGACTATAGACTAGACTATAGACTAGACTATAGACTAGACTATAGACTAGACTATAGACTAGACTATAGACTAGACTATAGACTAGACTATAGACTAGACTATAGACTAGACTATAGACTAGACTATGGACTAGACTATAGACTAGACTATAGACTAGACTATAGACTAGACTATAGACTAGACTATAGACTAGACTATAGACTAGACTATAGACTAGACTATAGACTAGACTATAGACTAGACTATAGACTAGACTATAGACTAGACTATAAACTAGACTATAGACTAGACTATAGACTAGACTATAGACTAGACTATAGACTAGACTATAGACTAGACTATAGACTAGACTATAGACTAGACTATAGACTAGACTATAGACTAGACTATAGACTAGACTATAGACTAGACTATAGACTAGACTATAGACTAGACTATAGACTAGACTATAGACTAGACTATAGACTAGACTATAGACTAGACTATAGACTAGACTATAGACTAGACTATAGACTAGACTAGACTAGACTATAGACTAGACTATAGACTATAGACTATAGACTAGACTATAGACTAGACTATAGACTAGACTATAGACTAGACTATAGACTAGACTATAGACTAGACTATAGACTAGACTATAGACTAGACTATAGACTAGACTATAGACTAGACTATAGACTAGACTATAGACTAGACTATAGACTAGACTATAGACTAGACTATAGACTAGACTATAGACTAGACTATAGACTAGACTATAGACTAGACTATAGACTAGACTATAGACTAGACTATAGACTAGACTATAGACTAGACTATAGACTAGACTATAGACTAGACTATAGACTAGACTATAGACTAGACTATAGACTAGACTATAGACTAGACTATAGACTAGACTATAGACTAGACTATAGACTAGACTATAGACTAGACTATAGACTAGACTATAAACTGGAATAGTCAAAAATATACACTAGACAATAGAGCAGAATACAGACTTGACTATAGACTAAACAGAGCCTGAAAATTGTCAGTAGCCAAGTCAAGCCCCCGGTAGTAATGAGAGGTATATAAATTTTTTCGAAAATTTCAAACCAACCATGAACCAGTTCATAAGTTTTGAAAGTAGTGCCAAAATCACACCGTATCTATAATTATTTATCATTTTTTCCATACAACATTTCTGTAATAAATCGCCAATAACTTTATTAATCATTTATGAATACGGGGGTTAGGATTAGTAAAAACAATATAAAATAATTTTAAATAACAAAATACGTTACAAATTGTACGCCCACTTAAACTGCACCAGCAGAAATAAAAGTATAAACATGTTATTAACACAATTAATGTTAACTAACAGAATGTCACACATTAACAGCAACATTAATAACAACAACATAAATTGCAGTTACTGCTGCCCAACAGCCAATTGCCAACAGCTTGCAACAAACAAACAATGCACAAAAACACACAGCAGCAGCAACAGCAGGCAGACAGCGGCGCAGAGAAACGCAGCCAACTAAATAAACTGTTGTTGACAGCAAACGCAGTTGTTTTCAAAATTGCGATCGATCAGTTGGGTTTCGCAGGAGCAACAAATTGGTTGTTCGAACGGGTTAAACTAATAAATAAATAACAAAGAAACAACAACAAACATATAAAATAATAAAACATATTAAACAAAAAAAAAAAATAAATAAAAAATAAGACGATCTAATTAGAAGTTTTAATGAAAATAAAACAACAATAACAATAAATAAATAAAATAGTATTGACAATTTAAAACGGATACAGCGTGCTGAAATAAACACACACACATATACAGTCACACTCATGAGCTTTTAAATAAAACAAATTGTTTTATAAATAAATAAAATAAAAACAATAAAAATAACAATTGTGTGTGTTGTGTTGTGTTTGTTGTCTTCTTTTTTAAATTGCATGTAATTAAATTAAACGCAATTTATCGATTTTTTTGTTTTGTTTTGTTGCTTTAGAAGAGAGTGCAAATAATAAAACAACAACTCCAATAAGAAGAAAAAAAAACATTTTACATGAAAAAGAAAGAAATAACAACAGCAACAACTACAATCGTTTTAAAATAATGTGTAACAGCAATCCTTTTGTGTTTCTCTTGGTTTTTTTAAGTGAAATTTTACAAAAATAAAAAAAAGTTACAAAAAATCAACAACACAACAGACAACAGAACAAAACAAAGAAGAAGACGACAACAACAAGAATTGAATATTTGGAATATTTAAATGTTTCATCATCATCATCATTGAATTGTAACGACAACTATTAGTAATGCAAAAAAATAACAGCAGCAACAACAACAAAACATAAATGCGTTTGCATTCTAATTGATTGTGTGCGTTGTTGTTGCTGTTATTGTTTGTTCTATAGTATCTATGACTTATGGGTGGTTATGGTGGCGGTGGTGGTCTGGTCTATTCTGTTCTATTGGTCTACTATTACTAAGTGTTGCACATTTATTTACAAGATCAAATGGGAAGGGGCGGGTGACCGCCGTCATTGAGATACATAAACCTTTAAAGAATTAATTTATGTTTGAGAAAAAATATAAGAAAACACTTGGCAATCTTACAGCAACATATAAATTGTATAAATTTATTGTTAAAAACTGTTTCTAACTGGAAACTATTAATATTGTCAATGTTGTAATTAAATTAAGAATTTATTATTAAATGATGCTTGAAAGAAGAAGAAGAAGTAACAGTTTGTTGTTTTTATATCTTCGATCAGAAAGATGAGGGGAATATTGATTCTATTGTTTCATTTGTAATTAATTTTTATTAAAATAAAATTTTTTATTAAATTATAAACTAGATATACCCAGTTTGCTTCGCTACCTTTAGCTGTCATGCCCACTATTAAGAGATTTCCGTATAAATTTTCAGGACTATAACTTTTTAAAACATGTGTTAGTTAGTTAGTTAGTTAGTTTGATAGGAGGTTCCGAGGAACTGCCTTTTTAAGAATCTCGTGTAGGAATACCTTCAAAACGAAGCGTGTTAATTTATTGTGCATTAGGTTTGGTCCATTTCAGAATTTCTAGATTACATAGGCAGACAAATTTTTAAACTTAAATTTAAAAGAATACTTTTCTAAAGAATTGAGCTACACTGAATCCATATCTGACATCAGATTTTCTCCAACAGATTTTTCTTATGAATATAATTTTTGAATTGTTTTAAAATATGCTGTAGTTGCTGAGATATAATACGCTGACGTTGTTGGACGGACAGATATTGTTAAGTTGAATCAGAAAGTGATTTTGAGTCGATTGTAACATGTTTGTTATAAACAATATTTACAAAGCATAATCCGAACCTCCGAACTATAGTAGTGTGGGATATAAATACCACGAATACACCGAAAAACATGAGTTTGCAAGATTTATGTGAAGATATCTCGAAGAGTAAAGAAGATGTGTCTGATGTTAAGTCATTATTTCAAAGTTGACAGAATGGACATTCAGATGGCACAGAACATTTTATAAACAAATTTTAAGTTTTTAAAAATTTCAGGTCTGAATATGCCAAATCCCAGATGGAGAATATCTGAGGTCAAATTCGGATTCAGCGCCGCTTAACACAAGTCTAAACGTAGGCTCAGGGTTACGATTTTTTTCAAATTTTGTCGGCATATGTTATTTAGGATTAACTACTAATCTCCCGGAGGCCACAACAAAATTCATACTAAAAACTTTCTTACTCTTGAATTGAAGACTGTACCTGTTCTAGTTTCCCTAGTTATTTTAATTTTAATATTTTATTGTCACGCATATCAGTGCTAGTCCCACGATATTTTCCGTAAATGACTATACGGATGTCAAAAATTGTGTGCAAAATTTGAGGTCTCTAACAGTTATACGAATTTTAGTATTAAGTTCATATGAAAGGTTTCACGCCCAGTATTGCTCGGACAAATACTTATATTGATACTAATGTTATTCTTACGAAATTTGGTGACTCTTGTTTATATAGTTATCCAGACATACGAATTTTAGTATTTATGGGTGTGCCACGACCACTATTACTAATTCACCAACTGTTATTTTTAAAATATGTGTGATCAAAATAGCCCGTGCAAATTTGTGGATTATAGCTGTTAAGGTCGTCCATATATACGACATTAAATTCTTATTTTGTATGTAGGCGTGGCACCTCGCCCACTTGAAATTTAAAAACTTAAATTTGCGCGTAGTTTCCTCAGGAACTACAGATATGTATGCAGATGGTATTCTGCACTTCGATCCGAAGATCCGTCACTAAAATAACAACTTACAAAAACGTAGTTACGATCGTATTACGATTTGAAATAAAATGGAATTCTTTTTCTTACGATTCCGTTTTTTGTTGGAATACCAATTTTCGATCCTAGCGTATCTGAATGGGGAAACGTAATCGAAATGCACAATAGGGATGAATATTATTCGTTAAATTACTTTGACATTTAAGTTTATAACTTTAACTTGATCACCAAATATACCGAGCGAAAAAATCTAAACGCATGAGCTGAATCCGAATCTATATCACATTAGGTTTTCGAATTATAGTGTCCTTAACTTTGAAAAAAAATCCGTTTTTGGTTATATTTGCGACGTTAAAACACCAATGTTTTATAAAATTCTCTAGAGTTCATTTGGAGCCTCCACTTTAACACTCTTAAATCTCGTTACAGTATCATTAAAAACATAACATCCTCCTAACAAATTCTGAAGGGTTATCACGTTTGTTAACATTTAGACATCGGATGTGCATAAAGTTTAGATTGCGACAACGAATTGTCTCAATGTTGACAAAGTTGCGTGGTATACATCACATGTTGTTGTTGTATATATGTATATACTTGACAACGGATGTTATTGAAAAATTTGGTGTCAATTTGGTACCAGGAGAGTATATTTTTTTTCCTCTGTGAAGCTGTTAAAGTCCCCCATATATGCGACTTTAAATTCACTTGAAATTTGAAAACTTAAAGTTGCGATTATTTCCCTCTGGAACTGTTGGAGATACCGAAGATTTTGCTTTAAACAAAAAGTTGTAGTCAATTATATAAATTTAATTCGTTCACCATATATACCGAGCGAAAAAATTCTAAACGTTTGAGCTAAATCCGAATCTTTGTATATTACATTAGGTTTTGGTGTTGTAGTGTCCAAAATTTTGGAAAATCTCCATTTTTAGTTATATTTGCGACGTTCTAGCACTATTCAGCAAAAGCAGTAAAATCTTTAAATGTTTTATCAAATTCTCTAGAGTTCCTCTGGAACCTTCATATAAAGCCCTTTTTCTTTAATCACTTTAACATTCTTAAATTTTATAAGAATATCGTTAAGAATTGTATAAAAATTTCATAACACCATTCTCCTAACAAATTCTATACGTATTGGCACATTATAGGACCTACCCCCTTACCCAACTCCTTTCTATAGGTTATCATATAGCCGCCTATAACTGACTACAATTTCTTACTAAATTTTTTTCTTCTTTTAACTGTCAATTAATATTTGTCCGTTATTTTAATGTGTAGCAAAAATCTAAAAAGCATATCAGCAATACATGAAAACACCAGTCAATGGGAGACTAGATTTCAATATCATTTTTATTTAGATATTTCTATTGGCGCTAAGATGATCAACTGACGTAAATAACTGTCATTATTTTATTTTTGTCTCAGTGATTTGAGTTAAGGTTCTATTTGATAATAAACACGAATTGTATGCAAATTATATTCGTTTTTGTTTGATAAAAAAAAGAAAACTTAATTTAGCAGCAACTAAGGAAATAACTTATGCGGATTAACATCTGCCATAAAAATAAAGGTATGTAGACATTTTTAAATATTTGATAAAATAAAAACATAATGACTCTGATTCAGCATAATCATAATTTCAATAACTAACAGTGGAATTATCATTAATAATAGTAAAATTATTACAATTTTGTAAAAACGAGCAGCGCTTGAAAATAAATGTTTATCTGAATTTAAAAAAAACAACTACATTAAATAAAATTTGCAGAAAGTATAGAATACAATGTATTACATAACGAGTTTCAAATACATAATTTAAAAACGTATTTCAAAACCCCACAATAATTCTTAATAATTGAGTTATTTTAGTTACCCGTGACGTATAAGTAATATGCATAACTTCCAACAAGTATACGTTTTATAAAAGTAGAATTATTTTTATGTAAAAAAAAAGAATTAACACATTTAACTTACTGATAGGTATTTGTCGATAAAGAGTGTTTGTTTTTAGTGGGATTTTGTAAATAATAATGACAAAATGCCGGCTAAGCTAAATATCTGTATGAATGGATGGATGGTTGGATGCATATCAGTATGTATGCAAGTATCTATGAATGTTTGTATGTTTATATGTATGCAAATGTAAACTAAAGTACTTAAATATGTATGAAAAAAATAAGCATGCGTGCGTGTATTTGTATGCGTGAGTGGGTGTTCCAATTTCCCAAAGTGTTTTATAGTTTAGTTTTAGTAAATTTTTTAGGTACGACAAACGATAATATCGCATGAATCATTTTTTTAAATACATACGTATATACAAGTCATACATGCATACACATGTGAATATAAAAATAGATGCATAATTTTTATTTATTTGTTATACTTTTTTATACTTTGTCTATCTATCTATCTATCTATCTATCTATCTATCTATCTATCTATCTATCTATCTATCTATCTATCTATCTATCTATCTATCTATCTATCTATCTATCTATCTATCTATCTATCTATCTATCTATCTATCTATCTATCTATCTATCTATCTATCTATCTATCTATCTATCTATCTATCTATCTATCTATCTATCTATCTATCTATCTATCTATCTATCTATCTATCTATCTATCTATCTATCTATCTATCTATCTATCTATCTATCTATCTATCTATCTATCTATCTATCTATCTATCTATCTATCTATCTATCTATCTATCTATCTATCTATCTATCTATCTATCTATCTATCTATCTATCTATCTATCTATCTATCTATCTATCTATCTATCTATCTATCTATCTATCTATATATCTATCTATTAGGGTGATCGACTCGATTTTTCAACCAGTTTTAAAACCTGTTATTTCTGCTTTACCAGTGTCGGTTTTTTCTAAATGTTGATTTTTCGAATGCCGAATAACCCGGTTTTTTCACTTTTTAAAAACCGGTTTCGAATACTTTAATTAGCTTCGTATTCAAAGATTATTTAAATTAAATTTTGAAG